AGATGTGTATAAGAGACAAATATATATATATATATATATATATATATATATATATATATATTGGGGGGCATACTGATTACAGCTCTACCACTTATTATTGCCTTTTGGTTCCAATTAGCTTACAAAATCCTCCCTGTGGAACATTTGAGTATTCACAGATGACAGGGGCGCAAATAAAGCCCCCTGTGATATAAGACACACGGTCCTCACTGTTCCCAAGCTTAATTCTAAAAAGAAATACATATAAAGTGCTCTATCATATAGAAACCATATATGGCATGGCATGATTTCATATTTGCCTGTTTCTCTTGCTCCTCCCCCGCCCCCCCAGTAGGCAGAATCTGTATCTTTTCTGGAAAAATAACTTTTCTAATATGAACAATCTCTTTCGGCATGAAGTATATTCCCCTCAGTTACTAAGCCCTTATGAACGACTTAAAAGCAACAGGTTTATCACCACCGGTCAGTGACACATCAGAAGTGGCCTTTGTGTGGCTTCACTCAGTCAAAACCGTGCCTCGCACCTGCATGAGGCAACTGCCCTGAGTGGCCAATTTTCTATTCTATACTCACTTCACTTGGAGACAGTCCCACAGAACTTTCACAGAAAGAGAAAGAAAGAACAAAGGAAAAAAGACAAAAAGCTGCCAAATAAGTCTCTTCAATGCAAAGATTCAACAGAGACCATTTTTACAGCTCAATTGGCAACTCATTGTTTGAAAGAAGTTACAATAAAAATGCAGATAGGCCACTCGCTTCAATAGCATTAGAAATTACTGTTGTTATAGTAATAATGCAGACTAGACTAATAGCTATTCAGAGAAAGTTCCTGATAGTGGGGGATGCTTTGCATTCTCTGGACAAAGTATATGCGCAAAACGTGTCAGTCTACAGCAAAATCCAACTTTCTGCACTAACTCGGGAAGAGACTCAGGGAAAAAAACAGAGGAGAGAACAGTTTTGTTCGCAAAGCATCTCTTCTTCAACATTTCCAAACTCGCCAAAGCACCTGGCTAGTACAAAAGGCATGTTTGAAATGCCAACGCACCATCCCAGGAACTAATCAAGATTTTTCTCCCCAGATTTAACACTGGATATATGGGTGGCAATGTGATTTATAAAAACCCTTAATAAGAAACTTAAAATGGAAACCCATGTCATCATCCGTGAGCTCTGATCATTCCTTAGACCGTTAAGGCCACGAGGTCAGACACCAGTTGTCTTGTTGGCGGTCCTCCCAGTAGGAAACACAGAGTCGGACACATAGTAGGCACTTTATCGGTAGATGATGGATAGATAGATGGATTAATAAAGAGGAGCTTCTGTCTAATGGGCACTGTAATAGAACTTTTTCATACATTGTAGCTTTTGTTCTATATGCAGTAACGATCATAACATTTATTTTCTTCTGTATGCATTTTACAGATGATAAAACTGAGGCCTACAGAGGAAGTGATCTCAAGGTTATTCTGCTAACACATGGCAGAGTCAGTAACTAACACTCAGCAAGCTGAGCTACAATCTCCTAAATTCTTGCACAGGAGAGAAAAGCATCCACTTCCTTCTCTGGTGATAATCACCTGCAACCTCAAATGAGAAGGAACCACTTGGATGGAGACCGAGAGAAGTGCTTAAAAACTATCTTCTCAAAAACCATTAAAAAAGAAATCCCCGGTGCAGGAGTCACATCCTCTAGGATGCAAACCATAAAGCAGCTGTCTTCTCGGAATGTGAAAACTGGCAAATTGATGCAGATGGATCCACAGGAAACGTACCTACAGACTCAAGTGACTCCAGAGGATCCAACCAGCAACATTCTTTCCACAGGAGGAAAGAGGCTATCATTCTAGATCATTCCACTGAGTAAGGCCACACTCAGGCCAGTCTCCTACAGGTACCTTCCACAGGGACAGTCCATAAACCAAAAACTGGCTCTATATCATCACAGCCTCAGAGCATTGCAAGACCTCAAAATGCCTTTTGAATCTAAGAAAAGAATTATGTGAAGTTCAGTGTGAAGGTAGTAGCAAGCACATTTTATTGCACGCTGGTTCTCTGAAAATGTACCATTTGATAATTATCAGAGCCAAGGTATTACATTTATTGTAATACCATATTTTGTAGGCACACTTACTAAGTTGGTTTATTATCAGTGACTAGTGAGCTGAGGAAAATGGCCGTAACTACTGTGGGATCTTATCAATTGGTTTCTCATCTAGTCAGTGGCTCACATTAAATTTATCTGGGCTTCTATACAAACTATTCACGCCTGGGTTCAGGGTTCAACCAGACCAATTGCAGTCTAATCCCTGGAAAGGGGTTATGTGTTGACATTTTTACAAAGCCCCCCAGGTGCTTCAGCCAGAGTTGTGAACACTACTTGGGCGCAGCCCTCCTCCTGTAACAGGTGAAGACATCAGGCCACGCTGTGAGTGAGCTGATCACGCCACACAGTTATCTGGCTACAGATGCATGACCTGAATCCAGGTTCTCTCACTCTCCTTGGCTCCTTTCAATCAGGAGGAATGAATGGTATCCATCAACGAAAATTCCTCTGACTGGCTTAGAGGCACCCACAGGACAATTCTGACTCAAGCCACCTCTTTGCCAGAAATACTACATGAACTTTTAACGCATGTCTGAATATTCAAACGTATCGCTCGCTGCCTGCAAGCAAGAACGGTCCTTCCAAAGACAGGGACCCAATGTCAAGCCACCAGTCCAAGTTGTTCCTTAACGCGCGAGCAGTGTCTGAGTGGCGAGCACAGGGCTGACACTCAATACACACTTGCTGATCTGAAATAAACGTGCTAATTGTTTTTCTCTGTCCAGACATGAGCGTCCCTTGTCCCTATCATATATCCTTCCCTCAACAGACACACACACTCTGCCATCGAACAGTTCTCATTTCTCCTGAGAGCTTCCAAAGCCATTATTGCACCATGAGACTGGGAAAGCTTCGTGTCCCTGAGTCTGCTAATAGGACACAACAAGTAATGTCTACGAAGAACAGGGGTGCCTGAGGGCTGGGGAGGGCAACAGGCCAGGACATGAGGGGCCTGGGGGGCAAACAAAAACTCTGGGGGCTGACTTTGGCATTTTGGTTGTAGTGATTTCACTTGTACATACATTTGTACACTTTACAAACTGTACACTTTACACATGGACAGTTTACTGGACGAGAGAGATTTCACCACCAGCAAACAGCAAATGCTCGCTTACTTTCCATATCTCATATATTTCATGAGTGATGCCCAGAGCACCTCTGAGAACCTCAGGTAATTCTGTGGGTGGTGACAAATCAACTATGGCCACAAACGGCCACTGGCAAGCTCTTTAGGTAGTTCCCCTTAAGTGAATCATTAATATATAAATGCCGTGCAAATCAGGTCATACCCACAGGTCCTAGGTTTGGAAAAAATGCTCTTGCAAAATATGAATTTTTTAATAAAAAATTGTAATTCTGATTCACAACACTGACCCCAGTTTTCTTTAGTGTTCTAATGCCTGTTGCCACTTTGGCGTTGGTACGTATGAGAAAGGTTAATAAAAAATACTTTCCCCCCCACATCACATAAAATTTCCAAAGCCAAGAGCAGCCGGTTTCCAGGAGGCGGTCATCGGTCCTTCATTAAATGGACAGGGCTGCCATTCGGGCCGTACCTGCCAGAACAGGCTGTGCGCGTCTCCCCGCATCAGCTCGACGGTGTCCCCGGCCTGGATGTGCAGCGGGGGCCCTTCGTGGAGGGCGGGGGGTGGCGTCCCAGCATAGCTCCTGATCACCTGCATCTTTGGCAAACCTGGAAATAAGCAACACAGGTTTTAGAATGGCGAAGATAACAACGTGTGAAGTCCAAATGTACTTTCAAAAAAAGCACAGAGCCATTATCAACATGAAGAAGTGTTCATAGCCCCAAGTCCACGTAAACACCTGAAGTCACTACGATGGAATGTGTTTAAATTTTCTCATTTGAGATGCTGATGTAACCAGACATATTTATGCCCCGATCCCGTCCATACCTCCCCTCTCCCTCGCCACCCGTCTATTTTCAGTTGAGAAAATATTTCTCTTTCCACTGATGCCTGCATTGTGAAAAACACATCACGTACAGTTTAATGGGGAAGAACCCATTTTTTCACCAGCCCGATCCTTTCGCCGATTGCTCCCCTCCTGGGCACTGCCTGACGCCTGATTGCATCACGGAGGCGGCTGCCCTTTCTGTGCATGTCGCGTGTTGCCCAGTCTAAGGCTCGTATCTTAAGGTTATCTTTGCAATTCAAAAGCAGGCCTGTGATGGATGTGCCAGGGCCAGACTGAAGACATTTATGTGGAGAAATTCTTCAGGCTCCAATTCAGGCTTGCAAAACAGACCCGGGGAAGGGAGCGTGTCTAAGTCAACAGCACTGACAAAGGCTTAGCATCCAGCCCGCCTGTCCTTTGTGTTTCTCTGAATGTGCATCGAAGGCCTTCGCGCAACATCTCATTTCGGAGAGCGGCAGCTTCAGCTGCACCAATAATGTCACCAAGGGACAACCTCACAGTCACCTTTTCATGTAGAGGTGAAACCGCTCCCCGCTATAAGAGCTCGCTCATGAGCAGGATGTCTGTGGCACCTTCATGGACTTAAGCCATTGCTAATGACACTTCGAGACTTTTTTGTTGTTGTTAATCCTCACGTGAGGATATTTTTTCCATTGATTTTTAAATAGAGTGGAAGGGAAGGGGTGCGGGGGGTTGTGAGAGAGAGAGAAACATCAATATGACAGAGAGACATCGATTGGTTGCCTCCCGCACGTGCCCTGACTGGGGCCAGGATCAAACCTGCAACCCAGGTACGTGCCCTTGACCGGTTCTTGAGCCCAGGACCCTTCACTGCATGTGCCAACACTCTAACCATTGAGCAACACTGGCCAGGGCATGGACACTTCAAGACATTTTATTCAAATGCTGGACCCTGGTAAAGGTGCAACTAGCAGAAAAGGCTGCACTAAGCCCAGAAAGGAAGATGAATGTCATTGAGTTGTCAGCGTCCAAGTTACCTAGAAGAGACCCAGTATCCCCATGAAATGTTCCAGCCAACAGCTTAATGAAGTCCTTAAAAATCCCTTCACAACCACCACCCCAAAGGGGAGAGAGCAAGTTTTCTCCAACACATTTTACCCATCCGATCAATGGGAGACAGAGGGCAGAAAAACACTGCGCCCTTCACCCCAATTCGGCTGCCGTTAACTGCTGGGGCACGTCGGAGTTGCCACACCTGCCCTGGCTTCAGGTCTGGTGCCCCAGGACCTCGGGAGGGGCTGACTTTCATCCCACATCCTTCCTGGAGCGCTGCCCTGCCAGATGGTACCAGGCGGCGCCCCTGCGCAAACAGCCGGTTGTTGTCCTCCCAAAAATCACCACTTGCCCGCGCTTCTCGGTGGAGCATTTACCCGACCCGCACACAGTGAGGGCCTTGAGAGGGGAAAGCGCTTCGTGTACACTTTCCATGAGGTCGCTCTTGTGCATTTAACATGCTATCCCCTCACTTTGCAAGTTACATAAATGTTCAGTCACTATGCCATACGCCGGAAACTAATATAATATTGTACGTCGGCTGTAACTGAAAAATTTTTAAATTACCTTAAAAATAAATATATAAATTATGCAATAGTATTTTCCTATTTAAAACCCCTCCTACTGCACTTAGAATGAAATCTAAACTCCTGGCCATCGCCTACGAAACCATGTATTTTCTGGCGCCCGTAACTCTCGGGTCTCATCTTGCTCAGTCTGGTACTTTCTCACTGTTTCCCGTCACTCTGACCTTTGCGTAGTTGCTTAAATGCCCTGGGCGAGTGGGACCAGCCAAGACGGTCTATGTTATGAGCTTCAACTTGTACCTCATGTAGTTATTCGCTTGTCATCTGTCTCCTCTCCTTTCCTTTTCTATATATTAGTACTGCCTATATTTGTATGTTAAAAACATTTATTATTTTCATAGTCAAATTGAGCTTTTAATAATGTAAATATTCAGGTTTGATTGGACAACCAGTAAGTTTTTACTTGCTTTTACACGGATTGTATTTATTTGTGCTTTTACCTAAAAATACGATCTATGCAACTGAAATTTTGCAGGAATTAAAGTTATTTTTAATGTGCAAAATTGCTCATATAGTTCTCAAAAGTCCTGAAGGACTCCCTTAATAATTTACACTCATCCTGAATATCCTTTAAATTAGGTGACTTGCTCATTTATGGAAAAAGTACATTTTTATTCCCTACATTCCACTGGCAAATTGGCATAAAAATACCACACATTCCAACATGAGGGTGAGCAGCTTATACTTTCTAAAAACAGTCTCTGGCTCACCCCTCGCTCTCCACCTCTCTCTTGCGCTCCCCCCGTGACGCACTTGCTCAAGGAGCTGAGAGCCTCTCTAGCTGCGCTCCCCAAGGGCTCGGACGTGTGCAGACGCGGCTTATTGATTGTGAGGGGGGAAGAGCATCGCTACCGGTACCCCAGCTGGCAGGGCTCCAGGGAGCGGAGGACTCGGGCCCATCGTTTCCATGTGCTGGTTTTTTGAGAGGCCAGGGAGTCCTAAGATCAGGGCTCTCCATAAAAATGCATGTAGTCCTGGCCATGCATTTAGTGGGGCTCGGTGGGCAGAGCGCTGGCCTGTGCACCGAAGGGTCGCAGGTTCAGTTCCCAGTCAAGGGCACGTACCTGGGTTGCAGATTCAATCCCAGGCCCCATCGG